TCTCTCTCTCTCTCTCTCTCTCTCTCTCTCTCTCTCTCTCTCTCTCTCTCTCTCTCTCTCTCTCTCTCTCTCTCTCTCTCTCTCTCTCTCTCTCTCTCTCTCTCTCTCTCTCTCTCTCTCTATATCCTGAAGCAAGAATGTTCCCGTGTTGGTTCGATTAATCAATCGTTTTTCGTGTCCCCGCTCTGGGCCAATAGCGAGAGAAAAACTTAACGTATGTGATAATGCGCCAGCTATGCCCCTGCTCTCCCGTTCCGTTGGAACGTAGGTCGTGCCTGCATATAGGTATACCGAAACGAGTCGAGACGACGGTGCACTGACCGGCCGCACTTCGCGCTCCGTTCCGCTCCGCTCCGCTCCGCTCTGCTCCGCGCCGCGCCGCGCCGCGCCGGGGTGCTGTCCCGCGAGGGACTCGAAACTTTTTTCCCGGCAACAGCTCCGAGGATACGTAACCACCGTTCGGATCACTCGATTTGTTCATCGATGAAGCATCGACACGCTTGGCGATCCAAACCGCGATCCGTTTTGTATTAACTTCTCGATGGAAATTTGCATTTCGGCGAGATTGAGAAGATAGTTGCGACGTGTTAGGAATTCTTGTTTCGCTCGAAAATGAGGGGGATATTATAATGTGATTATTACATGTAAGTTTGATGTGATATCTTTGTATTTTTACACGGAAAAAAAAACCGTTTTGATGGAGTATCTAAATTTGGCCAAATACTGATTTGAAGATAATTTTGTCGAGCCATTAAAATAATTATGTAGGACGCTCAAGTATATAATGATAATATTTTTGATATTTTCGTGATCGATTTGAACATCCTGCGTGATTATTTTGATGGCCCAACAAAATTATTTTCACATCTACATCTGGCCACATTTTTAAATATTTAACAAAACTGTTCTTTCCGTGTATATAATAAATTTTTATGTCATTCGGAAATCGATGAAAAGATTACATAATTTTAATGATGCTTCTGTAACGCGTTCTTTCCACATCGAATTAACGATATATTAAATTCAAAAGCTTTTCACGATCAGAATTAAAGTTTCATCAAATATGAATTATGACGCCCACGAAACGAAAGTAGTGCCGTCAGCTGTAACAAAGTTTCGTTATATTCAAATTCCGTTCTCTTGCACGTGCTAACGCGAAAATGGTACCTGTTATAATGTCGTGTCGCTCGTTGACGATGCCACGTTCACCTGACTCGCTTGACTCGCTTGCAAATAGCGTTTCTCAAACTTAGCGAAACTAGAATTCATCCTAAGTAGAGCATTAAGTAAATCTTTTACATAACGAACGGGACAATTATGTCTAATTGACATGTAGGCGAAAAGAACGACTTTGAAATATGTAAAAATTTTATATAAACCTGAAAATAATTTTGTTAGGCCATTGAAATAAATTATGTAAGAGACTTAAACATGATAATAATACTGCAAAAATTGTTTGTATTTATAGCAACCAATTTGAATCCTGCATAATTATTTTCATGGCTTAAGCAAATTTTTTATCTTAAGCAAATTTTTAGGTACTTCAGCAAAATTTTCTTTACATATATATATATATAATGCAAAAATATATATTTTATTATTATATGTTTAACAAATCTGTATGTTATAACCAGAATCCGAAATTCGCCAAAATCCAACTAGTCAGAATTAGCAATAACGAAGTCCTCTCATCAATATCGGCTTTAACCAGTCAAACCTACAATTAATACGTGTACTAAAATTCCAAACTTAATTTACAATTAAAGCAGATATTAATGAAAGAGCTTTGTCGGAAGACTAATGATTTAGTCAGTCATTTTGATACGTACGTCGTAAAGTATAGCAAAAAAATAATCAAAATAGAATATCCGATATCTCGTAAGATTCAACCGTTTGCAGCATCGCGTTTCTCTCGACGTCATTTCGTAGAGACCGAGGAGCGTTTCTTCGCCGGCCGTCGCCGAAAGCTGGCGCGTTCTTCCGAGCGTGCGTGTGTGTGTGCGCGCGCGATCAGAAAGCGGACCGTCGCATCGCCCGGGATAGACATTTCGCACAGCCGGCGTAGCCAAAGTTTAACTTTACACCGGGACGAGGGAGAGGGGGGCGGGGGGGGAGGGAGGGGAGGGGAGGGGATGGCGGCGGAGGGAGCGCCCGGGCGCCGTTCGACGTGATCGCACCACGTGCGGAGTCTGCCCCCGGTCCACGTATTATGACTACTTGTAGAGCACGTTTGCGGTCCCTCGCCCGCTCGTTGCGAGCGCCGGAACGCACGCTCGAGGATCCTCCCCCGCCGCTCTTTCGCTGGCGACCTTAGCGACACATGGCGCGCGACGAGGACGGGAGCCTCGGAGAGTCTCAGCCTTTCGAAACTCGTCCCGTTTCGCGTCGTCCTGTTTCGCGAAATGCGGGAAAAACACCCGCGAGAATTCCTCCTTCCGATATTACACGGGGAAGATTTGTGGCGCGAACCCCCCCCGCCCCTCCACGCACCTCGACATGTGTATTACTCCCGAAGCGAGACGATCGCCGCCTTCGTCGTTGTGTTACCCCCACGTGGAAAAAATATAATCGAAAACACTCGAACCGGTAATTCCGTCGCGTCGTTGCGACGACCGGGCGCGATCATTTGCATTCCGCGCGCAGCGTTTCGAGCTTATTCGAGCTAATAAAATCTCAACACCTGGAACGTTTCATTGGTTACATTATCACGCGAATCCCGAGACGCACCCTTTAATTTCCTGCACGCGATGACGAGGATAAACGGGATTGCCTATAATGACCGTTAACTTACTCTTAGTTATAAGTATACACCTATAAGTATACACATTTCACTGTTATATGTGTGTTTAAGTAACGCGACTAATTGTAACAAGCCGATTCTACGCCTTGGGAGTAACGTTCGACGTTGTTCTAACCCAGTTTCCTCCCATTGCGTAATTAATAAGTTAAAAATGAATACAGTCGGAAAATTCATAGCGGAATCTTTCGGTTATTTCGTTTCTAAATATTCATGAAGAAAATTCACGACTGTGAGGAAACTATTTGTCTTCCATAAACACACGGGGAGCACTTTGACTTATCGATCCCATTGACAGATATATACGGCGATAAAATTCGAATTAGAATAAAATTATCGCGTCGGAAGCACCCATCTTTTCGGTCCATCCGCTTTCTCTCACGTACGTTCGCATGCCACGACGACGCAAATGTGGAGGAGCCAGACGCGGACGAGAGTGAAAGAGCGATTTGGTGACATCAAAGTTTAATAAGCGCCATAAGCCGATCTAACCTGCGATACGCGCGGGTAAAACTCGCCGAGC